CCCAGAGAGGTGGTGGATTCACCGTCCCTGGAGGTTTTTAAGATGAGGCTGGATGTGGCACTGAGTGCCATGATCTGGTAATCAATGGGGTTGGATCAAGGGTTGGATCTGATGATCTCAGAGGTCTCTTCCAACCCAGTTAATTCTATGATTCTACCCCACTGTTATATATCCAGTGAGAAAAATTATCATGATACCAATGATGAAAAAATCAGTCTTCAAAATTCCCATAAATGCTGGTCCCGAAATGTGTTTTATCTTTTCAGCTTCTTGTGTGAAACAAAATATGTTGCTAGTGCCAGATGATAAAGTATATAAATATAAAATAATACCTTATTTGGAATTAAGAAAACATTTATTAGAGGACATTACATTACTTCACCAAAGCTTAAAGGGGTACAGAAGGGAAAAGATGAATAACAACTGATACAAGTTTCAGCCACTTAACATGAACAGAATCAGATTATCTTGTTTTCAGAGTAACCAGCCTGAAAAAAAAAATTCTGTAAAATATTTAACATATTTAAATGAATCACAGAAGCTACAATAAGACAATAGATATGGCACTGCCAGATAAAACCAGTGGATCATCTGCCATAGACAAAATGAAAATGGAAATATTTAAAGGAAAGAGGAGAAGGACAGTTTGAAACACTGCAAAATGTGAACAACATGTCAGTGTAGAAACTGATACGGATAAATAATAATGGTTTTAATGGAAAATCAACCTAGAGAAAACATTTAGCTTGTGGCAAAAACAAACATAAAAATTTTGTCTAAAACAACTTGAAAAAAGTGGGTAAAAGTATAGAGAGTAATGAAACAGTCAGACATCTCTTCACCTCTTGCTCTCAATCAGGATAGAGAAACAAGTTAATTCAGAGTTTAAAGAGGAAAACACTATTGCCTTTACAGGTGATACCATTTAACTTCATCAACATACTACAGAGAAGAACTATAAATTGCTCTTCTAGATATCAATATGTACAAAACTCAGCCTCTCTGCTTGCTTAACAGATGTAGTACATTGCAATAGACACTAAGAAAAAAAAATCTTGGTTTCTTTCCAAACAGCTGGTGAATTAAAGAACATAGTTTCTCAACAACTTACAGATGGTAAAAAATTATCAAAAATATTACCCACAGTAGACTTCTATAAAAATGTTTTTGTGTGTTCCAGTAATTACGCAAGTATTAAGATGTCTGTGACTCTCCTTTATTTCTAATTGTTTAGGACACTGATGCTGCTTTACCACTCACTCTCAGTGCTGCATTAATTCTAAATATCTTTATACTAGAGACTTTGAGCTGGTACTAATATTATTTAGCTTTTAGCTACCACAGAAATGGATAATACATATAAATACTTTTGTCAATGCTAAGAGTTCTTTAAAAAAAATAATAATCCTTCAATGCAAAGTTTCAAGCAGCATAACATGGAAAAATTACACAATGATTTGTCACGAGGAGGAAATCAGAGAAAATACAATTGTACAATATTGTTCTTAAAATATAACCAGACTTGTGTTCTAAAACTGAAGTTTCCTCAACTAATGCTATTCAACATGTGTTTTTTTTATTTCAAGAAATCACAAGAAAGGAGATGGGACAGTCCTTCCCAACCCACTGTATCTGTTCATAAATTGTGAAGTGATACGTTCAACTGTCTCATTTTTTTTTCTGCAAATATTTTTCCCCCTTTTCAGCAAGGATACTTTCTGCTCTGCTCATAACATGTCTCTAGGCTGAGCCAGTAAAGCAGAATGAAAGAGGACGGTGCAGGGGCACCCCAACAGCAGGGAAGGAACAGGCTGCTGAGCATAGCCACACACCACAGTTACTTGGCACACTGCACCCAACCTGCAATTGCCCCCACCCACAGGGCAAAGACCTCAACAGCCTCTTCACCCCAGGGCCCCAGGGAGCAGCACAGGCACCTGCCAGCCCCGCACAGATGGCAGACCCAATACCTGTGATAGTCCCACTCCCACCTCATGTCTCACCTGGGAGCCAGCAGCACCTCCTACCCCTTCCTGCAGCCTCCGTGGCCACCATTTTTGTTATTTATCAAACACATGTAATTTACACATGATCCATTTCAGGGTGAAGTAAAGATGGCCCATCCACCTGAGTCAAGACCAGTGAATTTTGTCTTAATAGGTAGTTTTGATGATGCACCATGATCACGAGCCCATTGGTGTTCCTACATACTACTGTCCCCTAATAGAAAACTGGGTTGTGGCAGCCATAGCGTCCATAGTGACATTGCTTAATGATCCACAGTCAGTTTTTATTTCATAGTTTAAAAGACCCATACAGTTAAGATGTTGCAATAGTTCGCAACTTGCTAGCAAATATATGTACAATATCAACAGAGGTAAAAATTGCCCTATTCAATAAGGTGTGAGCAGTCTTTTCCAGCTGGGAGCTGAAGAGATCAAGACCCATTGGTAACTCATAATTGCCCTGAAACTACTTCCCACATGCACCCAGGGGGAAGCCCGTAAATGTAGTATTTGTGGCATTTGTCAATTCTTGATCACAAAGGTGTTAGCACTTCTTTACTATTTTTGTCACCACATCTTCCAAAAATGTTGATTTACTTTCATATCTCACATCAAATAAATGGTTTTTGAGGTGGATGTCTCCCATTCTGAGACTGGTTCCTCTTCACCAGTGATGGAACTTTGTCACCGCCTGCTGTTATCCATAGTTTTTCAAATCCTCTCTAAATTTCCTCTTTCCTTCATAATTACACTTATTGTTTCATCTGAAGACTCTGTGATCCTGTACAGTCTTCAGGCTTGTATACTGAGGATTAGTCCTGATAGTCTGGTAATACCTAGGCCACCATCTCCTGTGCTGGAATAAAGGATGGCATCACATATACTTGAAGGTAAATGCAACCAGTCCTTGATGGCAGATCTAACTGCCAAAAAGATTTAAAGTCCATGGCTTTCACATCAGCCTGGTTTGCCAAATAGATCAATGTGGGGATCGTTTCAAGATGTCTACCTTCTGAAATGGTTTTAAAAGAGCCTTTTCAATCTGATGTAGCCAATCTTCCAATTTTCCTAGAAAGTTTTGATATTCTGACCCATGGATCAATGCAAAATCCCATGTATTTCTCAGTTTGGTAACTGGACCAATCATATTGAGGGGCATGCTATTAATTATTCCCAGTGGACAGTCACTGATGGTATATGAATCCCTGGTAGGCTTGATGTAGAAGTCATGGCACTTCTCCCCTTGCATCCCAAGCCCTGTAAGATCACAAAAAGCCTCTAAGATTTCAATATTTCTCTTCATTCCCTCTCACAATCCACTCAACAAAACAAGGTCATCTGCAAAGGTCACGGATATTAAATTTTTCACACAATGTTGGTAATCGCATCTCTCCTCTTCAAGTTTCCACAGTAGAGGGTCCACAGTTAGGTTAAATAGAATCAGAGATATTGAATCACCAATTCCCAATACGAATCCTGATGGGATCTGACTGCTCATTCCTTGGGTCAATATATGTATCGATATTATCATATATGCTTGCAATCAGGGTGATAATATGATGGTCCACAGCCTTTCACCATGTCTGGGATGATATTAGAGACCAACCAAAGATTAAACAGTTCCATTAACTGGGAATAGCGGAGATCTATTTTAATAAGATCCCTCAAACCAAGATGTCTTTCACCGTGATCATGGCTTGGAATGCCAAGTTGTCCGCTTGGCCAACTGATAGAAAAAAAACAAGACTCTTGAATGTTCTGGTGTTCTGGGCAATTCTCATCTCAACTTGAACACCGTGTGCACCTTGTCAAGTGGGATGCTGCATCTCAGGGATTCCACATCATCCAGGATTATTGTTAGTGAAGCCAGATGATAGGGAAGAAGTAACTATAACACTGTCTCACTGGGGCAGAGGTCAACTTGATTACCATGAAGGCATTCCAGCGGGACCACAAGGAGGTGTGACCTCTGCAGCTCTACTGACTTGCAAAAACAAACTCCAAAACTCCCAAGAGTATTGAAGCAGGTATGTTTATTTACAGCGCTGGGTGCATAGGGGATATCTCTGCCCAAGTATGCACACCTATTGCCTTTGTTTAGCTCCTTCTATGTGATATATTGTTACATATGCATTAGTTGTATTACATATACATTATTTGTGTTACATATGCATTAGCTGTGTCAGCAAATTCCAGAAAAGTGGGAGGAGAAATCATTAACATACACCACTTCTATAACTCTGCCTTGGAATGCCCCTTGGGGGTCTTCTTTTGAGGGTCTTTTGGATGAAGTAAGAAGTCTTCCTCAGCTCTAAACTTTTCACCTTTGCATAGAACTGCTGAGCTGCACTGTCCAATTAACTCAGAACTGTTAATATCTCTAGGAGTCTATCAACCTTCAAGGTTCCTCCTTTTAAGCCTCAAAGCTCCTTACCAAAACTCCAAGGTTTTCTATTCCTGCTAGAGTCCTCGTTATAAAATTAACCATATTCTGTTAGTATAGGCAAGCAAGGCCCTATTCTAATTCTATCTAAGAATTAGCTCTAGTAAGCAACTAAGGCTACAATCTTGTGTTATTGCTTTATATTTTGATCATCCCTTATCACTACCCAGCTTGTAACTATGGTCCTGTCTTAAGAGAGTCATAATTCCTCCAGGCAGAAAGGTTTGCCGCTCACCCCCCAAGTCCTGATAGCTTAACATAGGGACGGCAATACTCTTTCTCTCATTCTAGAAGGTGAGCAGGGCGGGAGAAACGCTTCACCTTATTAAAGAAAGGGTCCTCACCCCCCAAAAAAAGCAAGCAAACATCGCCCTAAGCAGTACCACTGCCCTCGCCCGGCGGCAGAAGAAATAGAGATCCCCACCTCATCGGGTTACGAAGGCGAAATCCACCACTAGTTCCACAGAAACGGCGAAACCAAGATGGCGACCATCCGCCGACAGGAGAGAGACAGCCGCTGCATCAGACTACGTCTCCGAGAGCCAATTGCAACCAGCTTTACTGCTGCAAGAAAGAAGATTACAATTCCCGGCAGGCGCCGCGCGGCCCGGCTAGGGGACCTGGGAGGAAAGGCAAGGGGTGGAGCTAATAAATAGTGGCACAGAGCACTTACCTTGCGTAAGATCGTGGTGGTCGTTGTGCTCGTCAGGCAGACGCGTGCTCGTCTCTTCTCGCCCCTTTCTGTGTTGTGGTTCTTGATGCGAGTAGGGGCGGTGGAACTATAGTGAGGGGGAAGCCCAAGCTTGCGTGCCTCGGCCGGTCGCTGGTGGTACTGCGGGTGCGGAGCGGTGTTGCTCAGGTAGAGCCCACTGCTCCCATCCCTTCAGCAGGAGGAGGCTGAGGCTGCTGTGGGCGGGGGTCACTTGGCTCTTCCCTGCTCGGCTATGTCGGACAATCAGAGTTGGAATTCCTCTGGCTCCGAGGAGGACCCCGAGACAGAGCCCGGGCTGCCTGTTGAGCTCTGTGGGGTACTCAGCAAGGTAAGCTGCCTTTTTTTTCTCCCCGCAGCCTGTGCCTGATGGCCTCTCGCTTTCCGTTTCCGCGTTGCACTACAGTCCCCCCTCCCGCAGCTGGCCGAGGGCTATTAGCCCCGGCTGCCTGTTTCCTCTCCACCCCGCTGCTCCGGATGAACAGGCTAAAGCTCCTGCCTCCCCTGGCGCCTGTGGAGGGGCCTGGTGGGGGGCGTGGGAGGCGCCGTCATGGCCCAGGCGGCCGCCACCTGATGGCGCGGAGCCTGCTAGGCAGCCGCTTCGGCGTCCGGCGCAAACCGCCTGTGCCCCCTCCATCAGCCGGAGGTACCACTACATCCCCGTTGGATTGAGGCGGGGGGGCGCTCACGTACTTGTCCCCCGGATCTGCGCAGTGCCTGTCCATCTTTCCTCACCCCTCGCAACCCTCGAGAGGCGGCGTGAGGAAGCAGTTTCTCGAGGAAGAGTCGCGGGTGCGGCTTCAGCCGCGGCTGGGGGAGGTGTTGGCGCCCGGCAGTCCCTGCCTCCCTCTGCCCCTGAATGGAGTCCCCTGGCTGCCTGGCGTGAGCTTCCGGAGAGAGGCCCGCGAGGGGGCGGCCAAGTGAGCGCGTGGAGGTGTCTCCCCCACTCCTCTGGCTTCTGACCGAAGCTGACGTCGGGCCCGGGTGCGGTCTGCAGCCGCGACGTCATACTCCCTTGCCCGGGAGCTCCTGAAAGCAGGCGCTGCTCGTGGTCACTTCCCAGGAGCAGGCCCCAACACATGAGCGGCACAACCTTTAGTCCAAGTATCAAAACAGGGCAATAAAATACCTCTGGTGTGAGAGATATGGGCGGTGGCGAGGAATAGAAAAAAAAAATTGCATTAAAGTTTTTCTCCCTCTTTAAAAATAAACATAACTTTTTGCTCTCTTATTACTGAAAGTGAAATGACTTGCAAGTATGTGTTGGATGATACTGGGAAACTAGGAGTGTTTTAAAGCTGAATATTGAATTACTAAGTTTGAAAGCAGATATTTTTTTTAAACAATAATTACTTTCAGAATAATGCTGAAATATCTTTAGAATGAAAGCACTATGTTTTGAATTGCTTTCCTTTCCAATAAAGCTAGACACAGACCTGTGTAGAAGGCACAGATCATGGAATACTGAGATCATAAGTAGGTGCTGGATGCTGAGAAGAGCTGTAATGGGGTTAGTACTCTGTTTTTTTGTGAGGGACTCTGTGAACTCCTTCAGGCTTGAAAATGTTTCTAAGCCTGGAGATGGGAGCAATGGTTAGGAGAAAAGAAGACCATTGGCTCTTATCTGTAAAATCTTATAATCTAATAAGTCTTAGTGCTGTTTTTTACTGGTGTAGCAGGTGAAACCATGGCTTCTGACATTCTGTAGCTTAAGTGCGTGCAAACATTTTTGGATGATTGTGCTGGGTGTAGCTGATGCTGCCTTTGCTACGAGAACACTGAATGTAATATGAATGGTCAAGTATGGTGAAACCTGTTGCAGTGAATATGCTTGAAGGATGTTTACCTTTTGCTCGTTGATGCCTCAGGAGTACTTTAGACAAGCTAATTAGAATGAAATGGTAGCATACCAAGGTTTCTACTAAAGGAATATTTATTTTTAATAACTTATTGTGCATAATTACATTTTAAATCAATAAAAGTAGGCTACAGTTCTCTGTGTATGTACTAGTGTTTCAGTTCTGCCCTTTGGTAAAGAAAGAAGCTTTGAAAGAAACGGAGTAATTTGGTAAGAGAATCTTATTAGAAGTGTATTTTGCAGGTCTCTTTAAATGTTTAAGAACTCCAGTGTGTTTTTTTTTTTTTTCCATTGTATTTCCTGCTTACCATTTTAAGGTGAATATAAAGAAGGAACTTCGATGTGGAAGTGTCCTTCTTGAACCCTGAGAAATATGAACCAAACTGTTTATTGTTACTTTTCTATTAGCTGATCTTTGGATTTTTTTTTACAGTGGACCAATTACATTCATGGGTGGCAGGATCGATGGGTAGTTCTGAAAAGCAACACACTCAGTTATTACAAGTCTGAAGATGAAACTGAATATGGCTGCAGAGGCTCTATCTGTCTGAGCAAGGCTGTGATTACAGTAAGTGCAATTTCAATATTGACATGTTATATGTTTTGAGGTGTTACATATTTGTAGGCTAACATCTGGTGAAAGCAAGTATGGGTATGAAAAATTCTTTTAGCTTGTTTAATATTAGTGATATTAGTGCAACACAGTGGAGTCAGGGAAAGAAGTTACTAATAAGAAAACAAGCTGGCTTTATTTGAGATTGTAATAAGCAGCTTTTCATATCTGTTATCTTAGAGGCTTCTTTGAGTAGGGATATGGTTTGCTTCTGGAAGAGGTGGAATTTTCCCAAGGGTCAGCCTAAGACCCTGGACCAACTTCCCAAAAGCAACAGCATCCATCAGTCTTTACACTTTGCACTAGAAAGAGAGGGTAGTATTTCTTTGACTGTACTTTCTGAACATGACTCTCTACAAAATTTGTGAAAGAAAATGTTCTATGTATTTCCTCTAAAGTGGGATGCTGTTTCTACCTAATGCTAAAAGATCCAGTATTACACTGGTAAGAATAAAGAGCCTACATATAAGTGAAATCTTATAAAAATGAATTTGCCTTAGAAGATAAAGAAAAACATTTTTGTAGCTTTCAGAATTATGATATGTATTGATTATTACTAATGCTTGCAAAAAAGCACACTGTAACTTTTTTGTGTTACTGTTAAATAGTCCAGTTATTTGATGGGGGGGGGGGAGAATACTGGACTTCTGTGTAGTACATAACTTCCTAGAGCAGTAGTGTTAAATCTTAATATTTATGTTCTTATTCCACCAAATATTTTGCTTTCAAACTGAAGGTAACAAATAAGCTTCCTTTTCTTTACTAATATTCAACTTAATTTTTTTTTTTCAAACACATCTTGATTTGGTAAAAAAAAGACTGGATTGATTACATCAACTGTATGTATTTTGGAAAAAAAGGTTGTGAAGAAAAAACAGGTCTTTACATTTAACTGTCTGACAGATATTACAGTCATCTGAAAATTAAAACAGATTACCCAATTTCTTTTAGAACTCTTTTTAAAACTGCTTAAACTTTTAAAACTTGCTCAAGATTTGACTTTTCCAGGAATTTATGGTGCACAGCAACAGCATCTAGAAGTGCTTGTTTAAGTGTACTTCTGGCAGTCTGTAGAGGTACCAGTCTCTGATCAGGACTTCCAAAAAGGTGTCTCATTCACTAATAAGAGGCTTAATATACCAATCAGGCAGAGACAGGAAGGTGGTGACAAAGAGATGTAGGCCGAGGGATGTCTGGAAATGTGCTGTAGAGTACATCTCAGCAGCTTGAATTCCAGTTCTGATGGTGGAGAATATAGTGATGCTGATATTGTTTTGGTATATTGCACTTTGTGAAGGGAAATTTGTGAGCTTCTTGTCTTTTGACTAAGAAGTAACACTGAAACTTCTTGCAGATAGCTTTTTTTCCTCCCTTGTATCTGGCACTTATTGGATCTGGTAACTTGGTGTTGATTGTTGACTCACCGCCTTTCCCCCCAGTTCTCGAGATTCTTGAGTACATTGAGAAAGAATAAAAAACCAGCATATTTCTCAAAATTATTCTGATATTTTAGTTGTTCCATTTTCATTCTGAATCATGCATGGTGGCTGGTATTTGACAGTTTAATTGCTTGTAGCTTGATACAGCATATCTGAAACCTGGTGAACTCCTGTTAATTATTTCTAGTTGCAGTTAGTGATTGCTGTGTAAGTATTAGAGGTTCAGGAATGCTATTAGATCATTTCATGTGTCTCTAGGATACAGAAATTTACTTTTTCAGAATGAATGCTTCTGGATTGATAGTTTGGTAGCAAATTGAATAGTTGTTTTTTAAACCTATGTTTTCAATAATAGAAAATGAATTATGCTCAAAGATAATTGTTTATTGTTCCCGTGATACATAGTTAATCTTTATTTTCATGTCCTTGTAATGTCTTAATATAAACTTACTAGCATGTATTTAAATGCATAGGAGAATACCAGTAGTTGATAAAATGTTGAGATGATAATGAAAAACTACTTTTACTATCAGTAGAACTTATTTGTTACTGTATGTCTTGTGATTACTTTGGTAGAGAAGTTGGGTTTCTTACTGACTTAATGTGCAGTAGCACCGATCTGATGTAGTTGGAATTTTAATCTTGAATATTTGTCAGCAGTCTTTCGCTATACTGTAAGTATAGTTTTCCTTGATCTTGCTAATCCAGTCAGGCATAGTAACTACCTATTTCCTAACCTTCTGTATTGAAGGAAGTTTTCCTTAAGTACAAAGTAGGATATGAGTGATATGAAATGGTGTTGATGGTAATGTTTCCTTGTAGGAGAGGGTGGGACTGGTTTCTCATGAAACTTTTTTATAGGTGCTCAGATTAGGTATGCATGTTTGTCTTTGATGGGGGATGTAATGATTTTCTCTGTTTAATTAATACTATTAGTAGTATAGAATGTCCATGTTTCACTGATGTATAAGCATAAATTTGGAAAACTGCTCTCATTGTGTAGTCTTACTGTACTTCCAGTAATGAAGATAAGCCTAATGATAAATCATAAAGTTAAAAGACGTGAATGCTGCATTTGGAAAGCTACAGTCCTTTCTGATCTTGTTTTATCATTCCTATCGCATTGGGCAGAGATTGATAGGTAATTCTCAGTGATATTTTATAAAATGACAGTTGTCTCTCCCCTCTTAAATTGAGAGGAAGACTTGTTAAATTAGCTCATTAGAGTAACTATTTTAGGTATTTTAAGTGTAGAATTATCATGTCATATCTCTCAAACAGATTCCTGTGACAATAGTCTTTAATTAAATGGAAAACATGGGGTCTGGTTGGGCTACTTGCTGTATTAACCAGTGGGACCAAGAAAAGCTGATTTCTCTAGAATAGAGGACTAAAGGATGAATATTGTATACTCACTGGATTACATTAAGTAATGAACTGTCAAGAACTAGCCATGTAAATTAAGTTATGAATGAAGACAATGAAAGAATACATGACGCTGCGTTGTGGTTTTCATTATCTGGCTAAAAACCTCAAAGGTGTTTAACCAGTTTATTACAGAAGGGAGGCTTGAACTCAAGTTCTGCCATGTGGTCAAGGGATGAGAAGGAATTATGGGTATTATTAAAAAGTTGATATATGCACAGATTTGTGTCCAAACTAGACTAATAGAACAAGCTAGATTACTGCTGCAGTTGGGTGAAAGGTTTTATTAAAAAAACTAAGCTATAAATCCATACCCTGGGCAGAAATACCATAGCAGTAAATTTGTAATAATTGCTAATTGCATGGGGAAGTATTGTTTCCAATTGTCTGAGGTTGGAAAACTAGGTTTTAATATGAGAGCATTTAATGGAATAATTAATTTTCTGTACCTTGATAAAGTACTTCCTCAGCCTTAATTGCTACTAAAAAGATGACTTTAGTAAACTAAGAATACAAGCCCTAACTAGATAGGGGTTTACTTAGGACACAAGGTACTTATGCTTTTAGGCTTTGATGCTTCCCTTAAATAATCAAATAGTTACATCCAGATTGGTAGAAAATCTTGGCTAAATGGGAGAGAAATCTGAATGGAGACTGTAGACAGTACATCCAAAAAAACACTACAGTGTGTACTAGTGTGTACAAGTGTGGTCAGGAATGCTTATTCAAGTGAAAGGCCTGAGGTGATTGTATTCTGGAGAGGAAAATGCCAAAGAGCAATAGAAAAATGAGGGAGAGAAAGAGTTGATGCCTAGGAGTTAATGAGAAGGGGCTGCTGTTGGTGAGACAGGCAGAAACTGTTTGAAATGTGGATTCTTCTGGACAATTATTTTTAGCATTCACATACTCTACAAATTTGTATATGAATATTATGGTATTTGAGTTATCTGAACCAGCAGTGGATGGGTTGATATTCAAAGTGAAAATGTCAGAATGTTGTCCTGTATTTATCAAAATACTATGGAGTACTAATATCCTTGGCAAGTAAAATGCAATTATTTGGCTGGGTGGAGAAATGGAAGATTTCTTAGTATGTATTGAGGAAATTAACTCAGAAGTGGAAAAGTACACATTCAGATCAGCTGAAGTGAGACTGTTAATCATTATGGAGTTCTTTGTCATAATATGAACATGATGTGGAGGAAGAAAATCAGTAATTTATTAAAGTATTAAATAACCAAATATTTTTGCATTACTTAATATTGCTGAAGTATTCAGCTCTAGTACTCTAATATAATCATATAATAGAATATCCTGAGTTGGAAGGGACCCACAAGGAAATCCAACTCCTGGCCCTGCACAGGACAGACAGCCCTAAGAATCACACCATGTGCCTGAGAGTGTTGTCCAAACATTTCTTGAACCCTGTCATGCTTGGTGCTGTGACCACTTCCCTGGGGAGCCTGTTCCAGTGCCCAGCCACCATCTGGGAGAAGAACCTTTTCTTAGTATCCAACCTAAACCTCCCTGACATTTCATTCTCTCAGATCCTGTCACTGGTCACCAGAGAGAAGAGATGGGTGTGTGCCCTTCCACTTTCCCTTGTGGGGAAGCTGTAGATGGCTATGAGATCTCCCCTCAGTATCCTTTTCTCCAGGCTGAGCAAACCAAGTGACCTCAGCTACTCCTCCTATGGCTTCCCCTTTATATGTATGTTACTATATGCTTAAAAATTAGGACTGTAATCCAACAGTTCTTCTGTCAGGTTTTTTTTTATCGATTAGAATATTCTTCCACTTGATTTCTTTTAATTAAAAGAATTAAGTTTTAACAGTGTTCATGATTAGACATCTACTTCAGGATTGTAATTCCTGTCCATGGGTTGTATCTGAGCATTTTCATGCTGTGGAACATTTCTTATAGATGCTATACCAATTCTTAAATAATTCCAGTGTTTACATTTGGTGTTAAAGCTATGGTTATATACCTCAGCAAATTTTTCTGTGATATTTGCAATTATTATTCTTGCTCGATCCTAATTTCTATGAATCTTCCTAAGATTTATTTATTGTTAGTGGATACAGTTTGTTCATATGTCACCCCTGTTATGACTTGCCCCTGAGGCAGGATAACTGAGGTTCTTGTTAATAATAGATCCCTTAGGGCAGATTAGGGTGACACTGAATGGACCGGTGTTTATATATATGTATGTGTGTGTGTGTATATATGGCAGGTTTATTTGAGAACAATTTGGTTGCAATGGAAAGGAGGTATGTAGCCGTTTTGATTATCTATAACAATATAAAAGTATAAAAAATATCACTTAAGAAAATATATAAGGAAGAGAAAGAAAGGATAAGAGTAGATAGAGAAAAGATATCACCACCTGTGGATCCAGCAATGAGACTTGATTGTTGCAATTTAGATGTCTGTTGGTTGAAGTGATGGTCACAGTCTTGATGGGGGTGGGGGAAGCCCGCGAAATGAAGAGTTCAATGTGTTAATATATGTTCAGGTGGGAATGCCCAGGTACCTCCTCTGGGAGGGAGTTTTACACTGTCTGATGTAACACTGTGTATCGTGCAGTTCTCTGGTGGAAGGCCCCAGAAATGAGTCTGGGGGCACTTTGGGGGTCTTTGATGGTTTATGACCCCTTCTAAAACATGACCACAGTTTCTCATGCTGGTGTAGTTGAGCCAGTTATGCCTTATCAGTAGGGATGAAAACCTTCAGGCCTGTGCCTGAGTGTTCTGATACCTTTGGGGGAAGGAGGTGGGGTATGGGGAGTTTTACACCAGAACCATTTGTGGAAGGGAGGACATTGGCATGATAAAAAGCATAATCCTACTCCACGGAATTTGCTTCTTATCAACCTTTTCCCTTATCTGGCTCAAAAAAACAGCTTGTTGCTAAACAAAGGTTGGTTTGTCATGGTGGTGTGACCTTCCCCAGAAAGGGGAGGGTAACTCAAGTTCTTATTAATAAATCCCTTGGGGTGGATTAGAGTGGCACTGAATAATTGGTGTTTGTAAACATATATATGTAGAGTTTATTTTGGAACAATTTTGTTTCAAAAGGTAAACAAGTACGTTGCTGTTTTGGGTGCTGTTATTCTATAGCAATACAGCAATATTAAAGCATCTATAGCAATAAAGCAACATTAGAACATAGCAATATGACACTATTAAAACATAGCAATATTAAGTCATGTATAGCAATATAGGAATCATTAGAGCATAAAGAAAACACTTAAGGAAATGCATAAGGGAGAGAAAGGGAAAGAAAGGATAAAGGTGGAAAGATATATATAGTCACCGCTCACGGGATCCAGCAATGAAACATGGTAGTTGCAGCTTCCATGTCTGTTAGTTGAAATGGTGGTCTTGATCCGTTGGGGCTGGGGGAAGCCCCTCTCAAAACTCAAAGAACTTATGAGTGATACACTTCCAACTCAGGTGGGAACGCCTTGTACCTTCCTGGGGTGGGAAGTTTTACAATGGATAGTGTCATGAGCCATGCCACGAACCTCTGACATCTCCAAAGACAGTTGTAGCTGCCTATTGTACCAACATCAATCGTCCATCATGGTCTAACATTTGAGATGTATAGCCCAGGCTAGATGTGCTGAGTTCAAGTAAAGGGAGGACATTGGCATGTTAAAAGGGATTTTTCTGCCTTGCAGGACTTGCCTCTTAGCCTCTTCCCTTCCTCAGGCAGGCATCTGCACCCAGGATAGCTGGACAATGGCACCCACTTATCCTTTAACAGTATTGGGCAAGGAATGTGTGTGTGGGGTGGGCTTTGCTGGGTGAGTAGCTGCTTCTTTTCAGTTTTCAGAAGTCTTTTGGTGATCTTAGAATGTGTAAATCATTAACTGTTTCAGTCTCTGACACATGGTCATCCTTCAGTGGTGGGTGTGCACCCCCTGTCCAGTTGAGTAGGGGGATTGACAGACTGCCTTTGGTTGCCACCTGGCATCCAGCCAGGGTCAACCCACCAAAGTACCACAGTCCTTTTCAGTGCCCAATGTGGAGCTTGAGACAATGACAGTTTTATACTAAGTGTGATATAGCTATGGTAGCTATTAAGTGGCAAGCTCCTGTGCGGGACACAGAGTTTTTCAGTTGCACTCAGCTTTATTCTGCTGAGTTTGGGAACATGGTAGTACAAATAATGGCTCTGTGCTTTGCCCTGGCACTGATGGCCTTGCTGTGCTGAGGGAGCTATTTTGTGGGGAGGATGAGGTTGAATTAAGGTGTAAAGGGAATTGGTAGATGCAGTTGATTCACTTGATTGTTAGCTTTCATGGTTGCTGGATTTTTTTTAATTTTTTTTTTTTTGTGGGAAATTTAAATTTCTTTAAATTCAACTTAGGTTAAGATGCCTGACCAAATAAGTGAAGCTATTAAAAAAAAAATTAAACTTCAAGTACTTTTGTTGAACTCTTCCTAGCTCATTTTTTATTTGCTAGTTGGCTTCTGTTGTACTTTTCTTCCTCTAGTATATTTAAACAAGATAGATTGTCTGTTATATGTAAGTAGCTTCTGATTTTCAGATCCTTAGAAAATAATTCTTACTGACACTGAACTGTTGTGCATAACACAACAAATGAGATTTGCTTATAGGTTTTCTTTTGTGGAGTGTTTCACAAGTGATCCACAGTGCTTTAGTTGTCTGCAAGATGAATGTATTCCCAGAGAAGTTCTTATATTGTAAAGGATATTAAAAGGTGTAGTCTTGTCTTTGGCATCAGGAATCAATATTTATGGTCTTTCAGATTGCATTGTTTGCCTTAACCTTAGAGCCAGTTATGTTCCTGTGTGCTTCTATGTGTAACATTTCTTTGTATTCATATTCAAAAAGGTGTTCAACTGTACCTATGTTATGTTTTGTTAAGAATAGTTTTCAATAAAGGGGAACAAAAATGTTTTTATGTGTTGGATGTTAGCTAGGGAGTAACTTTGAACTGACAGTGTCACAGGGCAGAATAGATCGTTGTTTTGTTCCTTTGTACTTTCCTTATCAGCTTCACTGTAATGCTATTAAAAGCATTTTACTATTTGAGGCATGTGAACTGAAAGTTAGATGCATTTGAGTGGTCATATGGGAAGGGATTGCATGTTGCTCCCAATTATCTGACAGTCCTGTCTTAGTTAAGGTAGTTGAGGCAGAGGGTGCCACAGCTTCCTTTAGTGAAGATCTGCAGCCTTCCTTGTCATTTTGATATAGTCTGCTTTTATCGCTCTATCCTGGTACTTTTACTACGATGTACATGTTCCTTCCATCTAAAATCAATTTTGATAGCAATAACTTTAAAAAAAAAAAAGTATTTTCCTGGCTGTGTACACTAATTTTTTTTAATTGTAATATTTCTAGAGTGTGAGATATTGTTGATCATGATGATAATTTTAGCTAATTTTACATTCTTTCACAGCCTCATGACTTTGATGAATGCAGATTTGATATTAGTGTAAATGATAGTGTTTGGTACCTCCGAGCTCAGGACCCAGACCACAGACAACAGTGGGTAGATGCAATAGAACAACATAAGGTATGTGTTTTTTCTGATTTCCTTTCTACCTCATTAGATCTAGTGGTGCTTGTAGAGAGTTGTAAGCTTCCAATGTACAGTCATTAAAGTACTCAAGGTATTTCTGACAGATAAAAGTTGCAAGATTGAAGCAGTGTGTTAAATATGTTCCAAAGGAATTGATTTGCTTATCCTTCTTATACAAGAGTTTAGAGAACTAGGAGCTAACAACTGAACCTTTCTTGAACTCTCTAGCTTGAAAAAGAAAAAGCTTGTATTACGTTTGAGTGACTTTTTAATTGTTTTGGTTATCCTCTCTCACTGACTATTGAATTGGTTCTTATCTAGATGTCACAGATGTTAAACTTGTTAGTCTTAGATAGAGTCCATTCTCCTAGGTTATCATTTGGTTTTTAGGCTCATGTCTCTGATATCTTGGTTGCTTTAACTGTATCTGATTACTGGCTTTTGTCTCCTTGTCTTTTAAGACCCTATTGTTCATCAGCATTTTCATTCAGTTTTCCTGATATGTACCTTATCTCTTCTGATGAACTCTGTTACTTTCATTTTACCTAAAAGGCATGAAGATCAGATATTTTTAAAATATTGTCCCAGTTTAAATGAGACACAGATGTTTTACTGAGGATGAGTTATGAGAAAAGACTCAAACTCCCCCCTCTAAGCAATTATAAATCCAAGATTAGAGGCTCCGATTGAAGGAAAACAAATTATGGAAAAGGAAAAATAACAGCCCTTTATTAAAAGGTATGTGTGTATTGGCAGAAATAACAAAAGAAAACAAAACAACCAAACAATACTCTTATACCCACAAATAATCCCCTTCAAAACAAACCAATAAACAAGCAAAGGAAAAAAAGTAAACAGTTCAGTTTGTGCCCTTTGGTGCAATTCTAACCACAGTCAACAGGGGGTGCCGTTGGATCACTGCAGATGCAGAGTTTGTAGTGTCCTGTGCTAGTCACCAGGTGGCGTTGTTGGATCACTGGAGATGCAGAGCCTGCAGTTCTTTATGTTTTTCAGCAGGGGGTACTGTGGAATCACTGGTTGTTGCCATGTAGGGGTAACACCCTCCGGGGTGTGTTGGAGAAACCAAAAAAAAAATGGGTTTCCCTCCCCTTCCCAAACACTGGGAAAGGGGAGAGAGAGAGAGGGGGGAGAGAAACAACAAAAAAAAAGTCCTCCCCAATGAAAAAAAAAAATCTCACTGTTTGGCTGGTTGAATCATGCGGCACAGTCCTCTCTCTCCCCTTGATGTGCACAAGGGCCACCACCAGGAAAGAAACAAATGGGAACAGGGAAGGGGAAAAACTTCCAGAAAACAGCTCCTCTCTGATGAAAAATCCAAGCAGGATCTGCAGCTGGCAAGCAGGCCGTGAACAACAGAACCCCACACTGAGCCTCCACACTGACCTTGTTCCAGCCTCCACAGCAAGTCCAAAACTCCTCCTCCCATTTCCCAGGAGACGAGAGGAAAAAAAAAAGTAAAGAAGAGCTCCTCACCCCCTGTTTCCCAGGAGACGAGATTCTAAGCAATTAACCAGAAGCCAGCTTCTTTTGTGCCCACTTAACAGCTCTGCACACAGTAGGCAGGGGGAAGGGAGAAATTCCTACTTAGTTTCTAAGAACCAGCAAAACCATGACAAATATGTAACACACAAAACATCTATGTTCTCAGATACAGGATAGGCACTGCTACAAGGATTTGAGTGTAAGTACAATACGTAGCACAATGAAACTTTTGCATCGGGGTTATGCAGGTAGAATCACAGAATATCTCAAGTTAGAAGGAACCCCTAAGGATTGAGTCCAACTCCCTGCTCCTTGCAGGGCTACCTAACACTAAACCATATGACTAAGAGTCATTCAGATGGTCCTTGAACTCTGACAGGCTTGGTACTGTGACCACTTCCCTGGGAAACCTGTTCTAGTTACCACCCACTCTCTCAGTGAAGAACCTTTTCCTAATGTCCGAGCTGAACTTCCCTGATACAGTTTCATACCATTTCTTTGTGTCCTATCACTGGTCACCAGAGAGAGGAGATCAGCACCTCCCCCTCCACTGCCCTCCTCAAGGAAGGTGAAGATTGTGATGTCACCCCTCAGCCTTCTCTTCTCCAAACTGACCTCATCTGCTCCTCGTAAATTATAGCAGAATAGTTGAGAGGCTCAAGAAGTAAGACACAGTGATTATGTGGATGATTACGATCAGATTTATTGCTAATACAGTATCTAAACATTGCTGATGCAGTATCTAAATAGCAACTCTATCATTTATTACAACTCATTATGGTATCATAAGGTTGTGGTCCCTCTTGTTGAGTCACGAGCTTCAGAGAGACTCCCTTGCTTTCTAAACTTCTCAGAGAAGTCTTGATGCAGCTTGGTCCACTTAGTCTCAGATTTGGTCAATAGTCTATGACTAGTTATAATATAAGCAGTTTCACCTAGAAACATACAGGTTTACAGAATTGCAGAATTCACAATTACAAAGCAACAAAGCACCTATGGAACTAACTTTTAAGATTTTATCTCCGTATTTGACTGTGTTGTCCCTAAAGCAGGGTTCTTTCACCCAGTGTGCAAGACCCAATCAACACACTGAGTTGAGATATTTGATTTTATTGCAGTTCTGCAGAATAGGGTGCCGGGCATCTAACAGAGACAGCATACCTTTTAGGAAACAGACAGAGTCTTTTATACAAAAAGGTAACAAAGAAAGACCGATACAAAAACAGGTGATTGTTTATTCATGCTTATATAACAAAATTCTTAATGTGCATGTGGTGGTCTTGGTCCAGTTCTTAATACTATCATTTACATATATGAATTTCCCAGGGTGTGCATTTTTTAGCATTATAATCATCTAAGGTAACTTGGGGTTATATTTCCATCCTATCAGCTATGACCAAGTTATTATTTAACCTTATACTCTATTACAGTTTCTCCTTGAATCTATTTGAACAATTAGTTGTCAATGAAATAAGAATTTATAGTACTCTGCTCCTGGGGACTCTTCACTGCTCCATTGCTCCAGCACCCTATTGACATGGTTTCAAGACCAACCCATAATTTCTGTGAACTTTTTGATAATTTTAACTTCATCTGACATCAACCGAATCTTAGCACCTTTTTGAAAAGTGAGTGTTCCCGGTCTTTGGGGTAGACATTACCTGGCAGGCATACAGGGAGGGAGTTGCTGCCTGCAATCTCAGGAGACCAGTTTGCCCAGTTGGCCGAGTCTCCAGCAGCATTTTATACCCTTATGCAGGCTGATGTGCATCAAAGTCAATCTCAACCATCTCAGCTCCCCCATTTTTGGAATGTATTAATTATGTGAGCAGTTCTTCCTGCAATACCCACCTGGTGTTCTTACCTTAAGACAAAACACACTGACCATCAGAGACTGTGGAAAGGGAGAGGATGTATGTGTATGAGGAAGATGCACGTGAAGACCCTACTATTTTTCATTGCTGTCACATAAATCTTGCCCTCTAGACCCTTCACCATCTTCAATATCTGTCCTTTGGATGCTCTCTAATAGCTTTATATCCTTCTTATATTGAGGCACCCAAAACTGCACACAGTACTCAAGGTGAGGCCATGCCAATGCAGAGTAGAGCAGAACAATCACCTCCCTTGATCAGCTAGTGATGCTGTACTTGATGCGCCCCAGGACCTGGTTAGCCCCTTTGGCTTCCAGGGTACTTTGTTGACTCATATTCAACTTGACATCAACCCAAACCCACAGATCTCTTTCCATGGGGCTGCTCTCCAGCCTCTTGTTTCCCAATCTGTATGTATAACCAGGATTACCACATCCCAGATGGAGAATCTGGCTCTTGCTCTTGTTAAATTTCGTACAGTTGGTGATTGCCCAGCTAGATCTCTCTGTAAGGCCTCTCTACCCTTGAGGAAGTCCACAGCTCCTAATTTAGTATCATCAGCAAACTTAATGTACAGTAGATCCTTGCATCCGGATCATTTATAAAAACATTAAAGAACACTATCCCTAAAATTGAGCCCTGAAGAACCCTGTTGGTATCTAACTGGCAGCCTGATGTAACCCCATTTACTATAACTCTTTGAGCCTGACCTGTCAGCCATTTGTTCACACAACCTATTATGAACTGGTCTAGCCGTACGTTGGACACTTTTTCCAGAAGCATACAGTGAAAGACAGTAACAAAAGCTTTGCAAAAATCCCAAATACCCCACATGTACTGGCTTCCCTTGGTCAACTTAGTAGGTGATGTTGTCATAAAAGGAAATTTAAGTTAGTTAAGAAGGACTTTCCCCTCGTGAACCCGTGCTGGCTGTGACCAGTGACTGTGTTGTCTCTCAAGTGTTTTTCAATAACTCACAGAATAACCTTCTCCATAATTTTGCCAGGTACTTGTCTCAGTTCAAAATGAGACAGGTGTTTTGCTGAGGATGAGTTATGAGGAAGACCCAAACTCCTCCCTCTAAGCAACTATAAATCCGAAATTAAGCGGCTCCGTTTGAGGGGAAAAAAATTGTGGAAAAAGGAAAGATAACAGCCCTTTATTTAAAGATACATGTGTATTGACAGAAACAATGAAAGAAAACAAGTAAAACAACCAAACAATACTCCTATACCCACAAATAATCCCCTTCAAAACATAGAAATAAACAAGCAAAGAAAGCCAGTCACCAGGGAGTGCTGTTGGATCACTGGAAATGCAGAGTCTGCCATTCTTTATGCTGGTCAGCAGGGGGCGCTGTGGAATCACTGGTTGTTGCCACATGGGGGTAACACCCACCGGGGTGTGTTGGAGAAACTAAAAATGGGTTTCCATCTCCCCCCCCACTGAGAAAGGGGAGAGAGAGGAGGGAGAGAAACAACAAAAAAAAAATTCCTCTCCAATGGGAAAAAACTCACTCTTTCTGCTGGCCAAATCGTGCAGTATAGTTTTCCTTCTCCCTTTGATGTGCACAAGAACCACTGCTAAGAATGAAACAAACGGGAACAGGGAAGGGAAAAGAAAAAAAGAAAAGAACTCCCGAAACAGTTCCTCTCTGATGAAAAAATCCAAGCAGAATCCACAGCTGGCAACCAGGCTGAGAAC